CTCTCCCCCCTTCATTATCGTGCCCAGCGTCTTCCTTCTCTTTCTCCTCTCCTTCACCCTCTCCATCCTGCCCCTTCTCCGTCATCTCCTCCTCCTTTTCCCCCTTTCTCCCTCCATCCACAGCAACCCCTTTCTCTCTCTCCTTCTCCCCTGTTCCCTTCGTGCGCGCTGCTCGTCACAGCAGCGTCGAGCGCTGCTGTGAACGGAACGGCAGCATCGTCGAAGCGCTCAAGGTTCTGCTTGCCCACTATCATATCCTCTTCGAAGTTGGTTCATCCGTCTCTTACCATTTTTTTTATCCTCAATGGTGCGGTGGCAGTGCTGTGGGTGTGCGCTGTGTGTGTGGGGGTGGCAAATGTCGGCGGTTTTGGTTAAGTTTTCATCCTGTAGTGTTTTCTATGGCTGGTTAGTTTGTGTGTTGTTGGGTGTGTGTGCGTGGGTGCGGTGGCGGTTGCGAGGGTGTGTGTGGGCGTGGTGGTGTGGAGGTGCGATCTATGTTTTGTTGGAGGTGTGGAGTGCGGTTACGAAGCGTAACGGTTCGCTGTAGTTCGTCGATTGGTTGTGGACGCTAACGACAGTGGTGATAGTCGGATTCGGTGTCAGTGCGTAAGGTGGCGGTGCAATGGTTGTGTGTTGTGGTTGTGTTGCCGGTGTTCTGGGTTGTTTTGGCAGTGCTGTAGAGGTGGTGTTGGCTTTGAGATGTTGATGTTGCCTTGGGGGCGGCGACGATGGTGGTGCCGCTAGTGGGGACAATGGCGAAGTGGTGGTCAGAAATGATTTGGTTGTTTGTGACCAATAATTTGGTTGGTTTGTGACTAATACATGATGTGTTATTGTTACCTAAAAAATATGAATTTGTGACCAATAATTTGATAAACTCTAACCTAAATATAATTTATTTTCAATTAATGTGATGTTTGTGACCATAAAATAAGGAATGTGACTTATAAATTTTGTGTCGGGTAATCGATGAACAAATTGTGATTTTTAAATTTTTAGTTTGTGACCGATGAACAGATTGTAACCTACGAAATTTTTCAATTGTGACTTAAAAATTTTTGAATTGTGACCAAATTGCATATATCTATGACTTTAATATAAATATTCGTCGGAGTTGGAACAATTTTCGGAATTAGAGAAGTCGCCGGAATAAAGCGACGGCAGAACAGTCATCGGAATCGAAGCCGTCGCCGAAAAAGAATGGTGATCGGAAAGGTGCTAGAATAATCACCGGAGCTGTAGGGGTGGTGGAGGTGGGGGTGGGTTAATTATATTATATTAGAATTCAATAATAATAAATTGATTTAATAATTATTATTTCATAAATAAAAATTTATAGAAACCTGATTTTTGAAACTTGTTTTTGTATTTTTTTTAAATTGGTGAAAGTAAATACGTGATTTATGTATTGTTCCCTTAAATTAAAGGCTATTAATCTTGGTTAAACCCGTTTAAAGTGATCTAATAAGGTTTCGTTATATTGGGTTTTAAAGCATCTAATTAAATTATGGATTTATATGTGTAGAGATCGGGCATGTTCCTAATTTCATGAAGGACCGAATTAGGTCAATAGGCAATTAGTATAAATATACGGTTATGGTCCCCGAATTACATGTTCTGTTTATTCTATTCTGACTCTCATTTTCAGAGAGAAACAAAGGAACNGCAATCAGTATAAATATACGGTTATGATCCCCGGATCACATGTTCTGTGCATTCTATTCAGACTCCCATCTTCAGAGCGAAACAAAGGAACAACGTGTTGATCTGGAAGATTAAAACCTCAAGACTTGTTCATTGCGATAATCATGTCCGATTTAGGTACGCTTCCCCTTTTGGTTAATAAATTCTTAATGATCCAACATGAACGATCCTTATGATGGTAAAGAATACAATTTTCTCCAACAAGTGGTATCAGAGCCTCTTCATATTGAATCATTGAGAATCCAAATTTTAATTTTATTCTTAATAATTTTATAGTTTCAAATTTAACAATTCCGGATTTAGTTTTGTTAAATTTGAACATTGTTCAGTTAATCTTCCATGTTTTCAGATTTTTCAGTTAAAAAAATAATATTTGTGGTGGCGCCGCCACTACTGGTTGCAGCAACCGTCGATGCTGCTTGCAGGTGGGCAGCGATCACCTCTGCAGGCTGCAGCGGCGAGCGCCGCCACCGCTGTTTTTAGGGGACGGTGCTAACGAACCCGCCCTCGATTCTTTCATTATTAAAAAAAAAAATTTAGGGTTTTAGGTGGATTTGAAGGTGGGGGTATGGGCTGAAAATTTGAAGAGTTTGGGTCCTTGTTTGCAATTTAAAATTAGGGTTTAGTATTTACAGCTTTAGTCTCTTAAGTTTGTAACTTTGGTTATTTCAG